ATAAACTTTTTTGTTAAGTTGCAATTTAAATCAACTTTATGTACTCATAGATGCCACCAACTTCCGAATCAGCAACTGCTGGTAACAGCCTACGTAGTCGAGAGCGTGACAAAATGCATATGGTCCAGCAGAGCAACAAATGTTATGAACATCGTGAGCTGCAGGCAACGGCAATGTCTGTCGACTATACGGGGCAATGGGTTTTGTTGGCGGGGCGACGCCACTTAGCACTGCAACGACTCGGACACGATGATGGTACACTACGAGAATTTCAAAGGAATTCGAAATATGAAGTGTCGGCAGCGGAATTCGCTACGCTACCAAATCGGCAGGAGTATTGTGCTATAGCGGCAAGTATTATGCGTAAACATTTTTTAGATATTATTTTCATTTAGTATTGCTTTCTTGCAGACAAGTGAACACATTGACGTCGTAACATGGGGTGCAGCAGACATGCAGCACTACCATTCGTTGCGCGGCCACACGTATCGTTACCGATATCGATTGGCATAGTAGGAATAGTAATCTGCTGGTGAGCTGTTCAATTGACACATTTGGGATTTACGGGATCCACGCAAGCCAACTTTATCATTGAATGCAGTATGCATGTGTAAGTTTCGGTGTACAAATGTAGATAAGTTATCTATTTATTTCTATTATATATTACTCCATTAGCCGGAGCAACACAAGTGGGATTTAACCGCGTATCAGGTAATTTATTGGCAGCCGCACATGATGGTGATTTACGTATTTGGGATATGCGCAAAGGTTCATGCCCAGTACATTATATAACCGCACATTTAAATAGGTATGAATTTAAAGCGTGTTTAAATATATAAAGGGGACTAACATACATATTTTAATTGTAGAGTACATGGCATTAACTGGAGTCATTTGCGTGAAACATGTCTGGGTACGGCGAGTCAAGATGGCACAGTAAAATATTTCGATATGAATAATCCGCGGCGCGCAGGAAAAATAATTACAATGACCTCACCCGTGTGGCGAGCGCGTTTACGGTATATAAATTTTATTTTGTATTTAAAATTCACAACTATGTATGATGCGTTAATTATTCTTACAGCCCATTAGCAATGGATTGGTTAGCATAGTGGTGCCTGCAATGGGACGCGGTGAGAATAGTTTGCTATTGTGGAGCAATAGTAAACAAACAGATCCGGTTTGCTCATTTGTGGGACACACTGATGTTATACTTGATTTTGAATGGCGACCAAATCGAGCAAACACTTCCGAGATTGTAAGTCTACATCCAGTCATCTTCGGATATTAAAAATGCTGCAAAGCGCAGATATCATTGTTTTCTATTATTTTGGTAAACATTTTACAAAGTGCCACTTTTTTTTAATGCATACACATATCGTAGTTTGCGTGTATGGAAGATCGATGACACGATGCTCAAACTCTGCGAGCCCGATTTCGATGGCGATGAAGTATGCGACACGCCGGATTCTTTTGCAGAAACGACTACTAAATTTCAGCCAGCACACTCGTCGTCTTTATATCAGCCCACTTTAAGTTTGACACGCGCCGCATCGCTGCCCACAGAAACATCTGATAACCTAACCATACCCACTATATCGCGTTCGCCTCCCCCGCCGATGCGTAAGGAAGAAACACATATAGCTCGTTCGCTTACTGATCAGCCAACTTGTTCGCTGCATCATGAGTTCTCGCTACTTAATAGGAATATGCCGCATGTAGAGGTGGACATATTGGATGCTATAAAACGTTATGCGGTCTTTAAGATCTCAGCGGGCGGTCATGTGGTGGTATTGCAGGTAAGTGAGCAGACTACATTTGTGCTTTTGACTAGGGCTTACATTTTTGCACATAGACCATCTTCCCAACTGAGTATCCCAGTCCCAATATCGGGCCGGAATTCACTTTTTGCGATGGCACTACACTTCACGAACAACTATCTACAATTTTGCTCAAGACACTTAAAACGAACGCTTTACAACGCGTTAAAAATCGCGCACATGTTTGGAACAATGCCTACGTGCCTTAGTGGGCGCCATGAAGAAGGTACCCAATATTGCCTAATATATATTTTTTGTGCTAATATTAGCCTATTCCTTGCATGTAGTCGGTTGGTAGCGTTACAGATAAATCTCAACTGCGTTGGACAAGCGAGATTTGCGTGCAACTTGTCGTCGCAATCGGCAGGTATGCGAAACATACGGCCGTTATGATTTGGTGCCGATTAGGACGCTGGCTGAGCTGATAGCCACACCAAATATACCAAATGAAACGAAATATGAGACGCTTTTTTATAAAGGTCCATTTAAGAAATTCCTGCTTGAGGCATTAATAATGCACTTTGCTGGTGCGGGTGATTTCCAGACGGCTGTAATGTTGGCATGTCTCTTTCACAAATGCCCTTCAATGTCGGGAGATTTTGGTGAATTCATGACACCGACTAGTCCCCATGGATTCCAACATAACAAACTGCAGCAACTCTCGCACAACACGTCACCTTATCATACCGTTTTGCCAATCGATTATCATGCTTCACATCCGAAATGCAGTACAGCACTGGCTGTCAATGTGCATTTGAAGCAGTTCCGTAGCAACTCTTGGTCGGATTCGCTAGACTGGGTGGACTCGAAGCATTGCAACTCGGATTCATATTCCTATTCGCTAATCAGGCGTACCAAAATGCCACTATACGATCACTTCAAGAAGGTATATGCGGACATATTGTTCGGTTGGCAGTTGCTGACCAAACGTGCGCTGGTAAAATTTAAAATATAGTTTGCGCGATTTACATTCATACTTAAATTCTCTCCGTTAGATTTTAAAACACACAATGTTTTCACAAACGCAGCCGCATGGTGTGGAATTTGTTACCGAGTGCCCTGGCTGCAATAAAATAAAGCGTACGCCCTCGTGCACTAGCTGCCAACGACCAGTTCTTTTCTGTCAGCTCTGTAACCTGCCAGTGAAAGGCGAAGCCAATGCATGTCTGGCTTGTGGGCATGGTGGTCATATGGCCCATATGATGCAGTGGTTTAAGGTGCATGGAGATGCCTGTATTTAAAACTGTTCAATAATGTTAAATGGTGTATTTTTGTATATTTTTACAGAAACATAACATTTGTGCATCCGGCTGTGGATGTCACTGCTTGAAACAAACAGCAGCACTGTTGGAGCTTACTGGCTAACCCATGAACCAAAAAGACAAGATCACGCGGGCAGTAGACTAGCCCGTTAGAATCGCATTTAGGAAAAAAGTTGAGCGATTTTGACATTAGCCGTTTGTTTACATTTCTTCGTTGTTTACAATTTGGAGGTGGCTTTTTACTGCAATTTTCTTCATTTTCGCTTGTGACAACGTGTGTACACATAAGATAAAGAATAATTTAACACAACGGCATGATTTATAGAAGAATTTGCATAATAAAAATGATTTTTCATGCGTTCAACAATTTCGCGGTTTCTCCGTTCTCTTCGTTGTTTACTTCTTACAACAAAGATGGCGTCGAGATTTCGACAGCTAGAAAATAACTTTTTTCGTTCTTTCCTTACCGCGTGATCTTGTGTCTTTCGTTCATGTGGCTAACCTAATATTCACGCACGCCGCCAATTTACTGTCAAAAATTTCATGCACATACAACTTGTATGGGACCAACCCATGATTCCATAATACAAGGTTCGATAAACTGACAGTTGTCTCTCTCCTCCAAACACCCATCTTTGATCCAAAATAATGTAATAGAGTAGGTTTAAAATTATAAAATTTTCATTTCAACAATCAACCTACCAAAACCGATAACTTCAGCAAAAAAACATTTCAGCATGCTTCATTTAAATCTATTTTGGTATATTTAAAGGAAATTTATGGTACAAACGAAAAATGTCAGCACGCCCTAAAGTAAACAAACTGGAGATTAATAGCAAATTAACGAAAAATAAACTCAACAAACGTTGTGCTTATTAAATTTACGCACTTTTTAGTTATATACTAGCATTAATAATAAAATTTGCAATAAATAACTTAAAAAGGCCATATTTTCTTTTGTTTATTTACAAACATGTGTTTGTGATCAGCTGATTTTCTTGCTTGCAAGTTTTAGCTGGGAAAAATTTTTCCAGCAGAAATTTGCAGCTCTCTTTCACATTTCGCTCTCTGAATTTCCCCTACTTTGCAAGTTTTTTGGGTACGAGAACGCGAAACCAGTAAAAGTTTTCTAAAACTTTAGATAGTTGGGCGTACGAGTACACTCCTCATGATTCATTTCGTTAAACACTAGTTTTGCTTACTACTCATGCCCGCTGTAGCATGACAGCTAAGCAAAACAAAATGTTCACACAATATTAAGT